ATAGGCTCTTTCTTTGGCATGCTAAAAGACCTTCCTAAAAGCCTTTTCCTCTAGTCCTACCCTGAAATCCCTAACCTGGAGGAGTCTTTTCCAGAACATCCATATGCTGCATAGCATGGACTGCTGCCACTTTGAGTGATATGATCCCTTTCCATTGCTGGCAAGATGACTCTCCCAAACATTACGACTGACTTGTCTCATGTGCCCTTCTGTGCATGCCTGTGTGCACACATAACACACGTATACATACAATGCATGGAATGAAATCATCTTTTTTTATGTTTTCCAAGAGTATTTGAAAGCTTAACCTGCATGTGAATAAAAGTCAACCGATCTTTGTCCATTTTGTTTTCATAGGGTTTCCCTGGTCCTCGAGGAGAAAAGGGTGATATAGGAGAAAAGGGAGAAAAGGTGACCACAGTGTTATTAACTGTTGCTTGATTCCTCAGCCTAGTCAGTCCTGCTGTCTTTATGCTATAAATTGTCCCATTAAAACTCATCTTTGTTTTTACTGTGTGCTAAAAGGCAGGTCACAGGTACATGCTAAGCAAAATAATGAAAAAACACAAAAATTTATGCACAGAATTAATAGTATCAACACCTCCCAAAGCACACTTTGGTTTTAGGCTCTTTTTCTCCAATCCACCCTACACTTGTTGAAAATCCTTGTCAACCTGAACTTTTTAATGCAGATGACTGAAATGTGTCATTGTGGTAGTAATTTTACCCTGAAGACATCAGTTCCTTGGCAGTATTTGCAGTGTAACTGGTGATCCTCATGTCCCTGCCTGTCCGTACCACACACCAAATACATAAGGACAGGAACTGTTAAAATGTTTATGTTTGGCAATGTCTTATTTACCACTAGGTACTTTGTGATACTTGTGGATGGAAATCAAATCATATACTGTACTGTTCTGGTAAGCCAACTAGACAGTGAAAGTAACAGAAACAGCCTAGCTTCATTTTTACTGTCCAAACACAGTGACTTGGAAAAATGTTTAGTAAAAAGTAATTTAGGACTAAATGCACGCAGAGAAAACTCATGAGCCAATCTCCCTTATTTCTAGCTAACACAGAGCCCGGTTGCTAAAACTGCTGAATTAGCACCACACTTAATACCAAAGTTCATACACACAGCAGGTGATTTTTCTAGTTTGGACCACTATTTTTTCCTAACTGACATGTACAGGGTCCTCTTTCCCATCACCAAATCTTGAAGAAGCAGCAGGGTTAAGAAGTCACCATGGCTCTTGGAGTTCAGCTCCTTTTCTTAATGCTCTCAGGCAAAACACTTCCCAAGAACGCGTTGGTAAGGGTACTAGGAAACTCATCCCCTTCTCTCCTTTGTTATATTGTTTATTTTGAGCTGGGAGATTACTGGTAAGGTGCTGAGTTTGCAGAATAACTGTTGCTTAAGCAGGTGCTCTAGGAATATTATAGAGGCAATGTCTGACATGGCAGAGTAATCACAAGGGATGGTGCAGGACACATCGCCTAGAAAGTCTGCTCCGCCATCTCCCTAAAAATTCAGAAAAAGGCGAAACCTGTTTCTTGAGGAGAATTCATGGGATACAGTGTTTAGCAGGTCTGACAGATGTCTCATGTTATCTTAGGGGCTTTCAGGCTAAGAGGGTTGCCAGGAAGTCTGTAGAGTGAAAACGGGGATGGAATCTCTGCCTTAAAAATTCTGAGAATACTCAAAGAAAATTAGAAGGCAAAGGAAGGTCTTCCTTCCTTTGAAGGAAGGTGAAAAATCAGGGAAGATATAGTTGAAACCTCTGTGAAAGAGACTTCTCTTGCACTTTTTTCCAGAAATGAGGGAATACTTGTGTCTTTCAAATAAAGTGGTTTCACCAAAACCACCTTAGCTGCCTCAATATTCCTTTTCCAAATGGAAGGCTGACTCTCAAAAGACAGAATGTAATGCTTTCATGTTCATGCTAATAGAAGCTTTCATTATAACAAATTTTCTCAGTTCTGATGTTTTTTCTTACATAAATTACTAATTGTCTGTGACCAAATTGGTGTAACAGCATCTATTTCAACAGAGGGAAACCAGTTTACAAGCTGAGAGTCCAGCTCATCATTTCTTGGTTTTTAAATATTCCTTACAGCATTGGCTGTTAGACTGACATCACACAAGTTGAAATTAGTGAGTTCTGGTTAATTCAAACTGCATTGCAAAAATATAGATCATTACTAAAATTCTATTGAGAACCACTGATACTTGGGTTTTTCATAGACGTGCTATGATAGGCAGGGAATAAATCTTGTTTTTTTCAGTATGAGATGAGTCCTAGACTGATGGTTTTTATTTTAACCTGTCAGTAGTTCTGCTACAGTGAAAGCAAGTCAGTGTTTGCATTATGATGTCTGCTTAACTTGGCTGTAAAAATAATTTTTTAAAGCATTCTAGCTCTACTCATATAAAATTATAGTCCAGGAGCACGCAGCACAAAACAGGTTTGTACAATTGATTTTGTATTTTCAAGTTGTGTGATGAGAAGAAAAAAATTCTTTTAATAAATGAATAACCTTTAACGAAAGGTAGAGATTGTGTTGTGAGGAGGAGGAGGGAAGGGGGCTCTGGTCCCAAATGTGTAGTTGTGTCTCTTGTTATAAATATTGACAGAGGAGCACGGTGTATCGCACCAGTGGCTGGAAAGGCATCGTCCTCTTTCCCTTATGCTTTGCAGTGATGAAAATCTGGGCATGTGGGGATTGGACATTCTTCCAGCCAAAATGGTGGAAGTGCCACAAATTTGTATTTCTCTAGGCACTGAGGAAGGGAAGGAATGAATTTTTTTCAGTCTTCATCAGATGTAGATTTTCCATATCTCCTGTGAGTGTCTCTAGTAAGGAGGTGAAGATTAAGAGACAAGAAGTCAGTCCATAGGAAAAGCAGCAAAGTACTCAGGAAATCCCCACTATTCTCTGCGCAGATGACGGCCACGTTGGTTTGAATAAGTTCACAGGTTTGCCCTGCCAAGCTGGAAATTTAAATAGTTATCTGCTGATTTGTAACCCAACAAGTTAAAGAAATGAAAGTCCTAAAGATATAAAAAAGAGTCAGAAACTGAACTGTTCTGTCCATTTTCAGAATAAGTTTTGGACTATGTCCATGCTTTGTGCTCGCTTACACTTGCAGCAAATGGGTGTTACATGGAGCACAAATAATGAGATTTGATGCTGAATCTGTTGGTGCTCTCTGCTACGCTGCCATGTTTGTAGGTTTAAGATGGAAACTTAACCAGCTCACAGATCCCGACTTGTGGGGATTTTTTTACACCACAGTCTTAGAATTTGGTACAGGATACTGCTTGGGCTGCTGTTTGCCTTAATACTATCCTGCAACTTTTTGGCACACAGAAAAGATAGACAAGGAATTTTTGCTCCTATCGTGTCATGAATGCAGTATGTTTGGTTCGAGGAAAACATTTTTTTCATTTGAATGTGTCAAGTGTGCTATGATATTACATGAATAATGTGCTTTCCTTCCTTTTTAAAGTATGTTATAGCTAATTATTTTTTAATTGTGTAAAAATGAGTTTTCTCTCTTGTTAATGAATTAAGTGTTTCTGTACTGGTGTGGAATTAGTTAAATGTCTATTTACTATGCTTCACCAAAATCCGTCTGTCTTTCCAAAGGGGCATTCCTTCCTTCTCCTTCTACCTTCATTCCTTACAATTCCTCTGTCTTTTTTACCCTTTTCCTCACAAATTAAATCCTCCCAATAGCCACAACCTCGCTTGCTGGTTCTCCAATGTCATACTAATTTTCCTATGACTATTTTTCCCATTTCTTTGTGATATTCCTGATTTACTCATCCTTCCTATCCCATTTTTTACAATCCTAGCCCAATTTGTTTCATTTTTTTTTTTTAACAGAACCTTTTTTGATTTTTGTGAAATTGAGAGCAAACCTGAAACTCATTTACCATTGTGATCAACTGGTGTGAAACCAATTACAAAATGAACTCCTTAAACATCTTATACTGCTTGAAGGTGAGGCCACCTTTGCAGGTAGCTTTGTTGAGGGGAGTCAGCTCCTTTCTGTGAGTAATTAAAGCTTTGAAAGTTTTACATTTTAAAAAAACAAACCTCAGTGTCAAATCACAGGACTGAATTTTGGTAAAAAATGTAGATGAAATGTTGCCTGCAGTAGAGAGTACATTTAAATGTAATATTTAAAGAATCTAATGATAATTTATGATGAGTTTATGATATCAGGACATTATGAAATCATTGAAAGTCTCGTAGGGCCTCTCCATCAAGCAGTTTGGATGTTTTGATTCCCGTAACAGGGTTTGAAATGGTCCTGTTGTTTGTGGGGTGACAGAGCACACCCCCGGGGATGTCGGTGGGGTTCTGTAGACACCACGACAACTTCCCGTAACAGGGTTTGAAATGGTCCTGTTGGATGTGGGGTGACAGAAGCACACCCCTGCACCCCCGGGGATGTCGGTGGGGTTCTGTGGACACCACTGACCACGGGGTTTGTCCCAAACTCCTACCAGAGCCCAAAGGGTCGGTTCAGCAAAGGATGCACTGGGCCAAGTCCACCCTTGACTTATCAACCGTGGAAGTTGATAGAATTTAGCCAGAAACCAGCTGTCCCTGTGAAGCATCTGTGCCACGGGTCTTCTTTAGAGAGACTCTGCTGGTGTTCTCTGCTCTCACAGAGTTACACCCAACTCGTGACAAACCTTCTAGGGAAGCCAGCAAATTCAGCACAGGGGGTATGTGCTTCAGGACTGTCACTTCAAATAAATAGGAGACCTCTTGATTTGGAGTGTGGATTTGGGGGGGATTTGCAGATTTGCCTCTGTCTCAAGAAATCAATGATTTCAAGCCCTGTTCTAGGATTCAAAATATTCATAACACTGGTATGAAATACCAACACAAACTAATAGCGAATGATTGCAGTACTTGCTTGTGATCATATAATTTATTTTTCCACATAATGCACCATCCAAACCAGAACACAGTGGTAAGTGTCCTTTCAGCTCTCCATTGGCTTAAAAACGAAAAACCCAAACTTTTAAACCAATCTTTCTTTAATTTATTTTTTTTTTTCCCAAAAGTATGAAACTTGTTTTATCCAAACCATTGTATCCACAGGGGGAAAAGGGAAAGAAAGGCAAAAAGGGGCCTAAAGGGGAGAAAGGAGAACAGGGTGCTCCTGGATTAGATGCACCTTGCCCATTGGTACGTCTCACTTGTGTATTGGACAACCGATTGTCCTGCTGTAGACTGATGGAATAAGAAATGAGGGGAGAGGAACAAGCACCAGCTTCTGTATCACCTTTACTCTTCATTAATGCAGCCTTATCTCAAGTTCTGGCAAATTCTGGAGGGGACTTTGTTTGTCAACCTCCATATTTCTTTTAAAGCACCAGACTTAAGACCTTCAGGCTAAATTTGTGGGGTTTGTAGGTCTTTTTTTTTTTAATTACTTTTTGTCTTTGGCATTTCAAGCCAAAGGAATCAAATTTGAGCTGTGCCAGAGTCAGTGCCCCCCAGGTTAAATCCCAGCCCAGCTGTCAGCTTGCTCCTCTCGCCTCTCTCTCCGTTGTTATTTGTTCCCTCCAGCTAAGTCAATACCGAAGGCATTTCCTTGACAGTAACGTTGCAAGTTAATCTTTACAAACAGGGATTCCGTGGAATTAAGGGGGAAAAAGGGGAGCCAGGCCAGCCTGGCCTGGATGGGCTGGATGCCCCTTGCCAATTGGTACAGTATTTCTCTTTCCTACCAACCCTGCATGCAGTTCCTTTGTTTGTGGTCAGCCATTCTCGATGTAAAGTAATGGTTTTTTTGAGCTGACTTTACATTATTCACGTTAACACACGCATGTGCATGACCAAACCAGCTGCTTCAGTGCTCATACCCGCAGTGAGAGAACACACCTTTTTGTTGACACCTCGAACCTAACTCTCAGCAGTTTGCTCCCACGTCACACAGCCATTTATAAGTTTGTGTCCTTCCTACATTTTCCCTCAGAACCGTTTGTTTGTTATTTTCCTCACCAAATACCTCTTGCCTTACTCACCCCCAGCGAAAGTCTTTGTAGAAATCCAGCACAATGTCCACCTCTAATCAACTCTGATGACTTCTGTCTGCCCTGGCTCGGTTCCTCACGCTCCCCTGTCCCAGAGCCACGCTGCACCCTGGGCAACCCATACAGTCTTGGGGGCCTGTTTTCAGAATTTGGCCAAAATTAATCACCTACAGAATGATGCAAGTATTATTGCTCACCCTGGGCAACCCATACAGTCTTGGGGGCATGTTTGCAGAATTTGGCTAAAATTAAGTCACCTACAGAGTGATGCAAATATTATTGCTAAAAAATCAAGTGGTAGGTTTCCAGTAAGCCAAGCTGGAGCCCAGTCTCCCAGACCTGACACAAGTAATACGTTACGTGTCTGGCCTGTTCATCAGATATTATTCCAGAACAGATCTGGAAATAAAAAGCTTACCTGAGGTTTGTAAGAAGATAACGGTCTGCAGCCCAAACCCTCACTGTCTTTGTTATTTAACGTCTTCAACTTAATGGTCTTACCCTTGGAACTTACCTTCCTGGCACACACACGACACTCCCCACCCTATGTTAGCATGAAGTCAAGTTCCCACCTATACTAAAAATACTTCACCCGTTGACCCTCTCCCTTGTACCAATCTGGCAACAGTGATTTTTATTTAATGGCAAAGTAAGTTTAAACTCTTTTCCATTTAAAAAAATAAATAATAATAATAATAATAAAAAGATAAAAGAAACAGTACATACACATTTCCTACAGATACAAGGAAGATTTTCTTTTTTAATTGTTCGCAGTAAGATTTGATCTGCATGTTCTGATATTGTTTGGTGGTTAAGCACGGTTCTCTAAGACGAATGTTAAATTAAGTAGAATTTATTTCAGCTACAGCACTTCTAATTTGAAGTCAGTGGATTTTAATCTTAAATACATAGCCCATTAAGATTATTCCATAGTCCATTTTGTTTGCTTCCGATTAATGGTAACCATATCTCATATTTTGTTGGGGATAATGGAGCATGCTTTTGTAATTTTAAAATGTTTCTCTCTCTCTGTATTATCATTTCTGTCTGGAGATTCACTAACAATCCTGGTGGCTGAACAGTGTTCTGTTTGTAGAATAAGCTGCCCAGCAAACAGCGCTGTTTGTAGCTTGAGGCAGCAAGCCCTTCCCATCACATTACATGCAAGCACATTCAAAAAATTCTCATTAACCACTATTCTCCACCTGTAAATTCACATCATAATCATTGGCTTTCTATATTCTAAAAAATGTCCAAGGCCTGATCTTTCTTCTTCTCATATATAGTCGAGTAACACGATACGTGCTCCTAATTATGAGCGTGTAACTCTTTGGCTAAGCCCTGTATAGCCACGTAAATTGGAATTAGTTCCATGAACACCAGTAGGACTGTGGTCAAAAGCTGTCCGTGATCTTACTGGATGCATGGAGATGTGTGAAAGTAGGGGGGTGGCAGAAAAGAAATGGAGTGACTCTCAGTAATATAAGAAGAAATTGGATAGCTGTATTATCCAAGTGATTAAATAAAGTGCTCTGCTGCCCTGCTCCCACCGCTGATGGTTTCTTCCCCTCTGCCACTTGAGGTATGGTCAGGCCTTGAGTTTCTGCTGCTTCATTCAAAAATTAAGAATGAAAGCGAATAGAAAAAATCCCACTCAAATCTGAGTGTTGCTTTCTGGGTTCACTTTAGGTTAGGGACCCATAAAATGCAATACCCTCCAGATAAAAGTGATAATATATTTTTTTCTCATTGATCTTGTACATTCAGCTACAGATTGTTGTGAATAACAGATTATATTTAAAGTAATATGCAGCCTGAGCTCTAACAGCAATAAGAAACTGATGAAGATGTTCTAATGATTTAGGAAAAAGCAGATCTTTATGGCAGAGAGGCGCACGGATGTATTGACAGTGTAAACCTCTCCTCTGGCTTTTCCTTCACCTTGAGGCCGAGAGAGGAAATAAGTTGGGCACTGGTTGCTACTTATTACATAAAAAGTCAGAGATAAAGAGTCAGCTGCTTCAGCTGTTCTAGCAGATATTGATGGAATATCTATCCTATCAAAATTAACTATGTCTTTTTTTTTTCCCCCTCAGCTGTTCTAGCAGATATTGATGGAATTTCTATCCTATCAAAATTAACTGTCTTCTTTTTTTTTCCCCCTCCTCCCATGGAAACAGGGTCCCGATGGATTACCAATGCCTGGCTGTTGGCAAAAGGTAGGATGGGCAGAGCTTTTTCTTTCCAGGGGCACAGAGAGGAACCTGTCACAATATCAGGATGTACTTCAGAGCCTGTTAGAGATATAGATGCAGCAACACAAAATAAGAGCTCTCCATGACAGTAGCTGGTGTGATGAGGTTGTAATACATGTAGAGGTTTTAAGATATGTACCACCTCATCGAGGCAGTATTGTAGAAACAGCTGGTGTTAGACTTCTGGAAAGTCCAAGACTTTTCTCTTTCATATGAAGCATCATACATCCTTTGGTTTCTGCACACGATCACTGCTTCCCATTCTTTATAAAAGCTCATGGATGTGGCATTTTTATCAAGTATTTATATTGATTGATTACGTTATTATTTTTCTGGGATACCTAGAAGAGCAGTGCGTCCTGCCCTTGTCTTCGCCTTACCTTTCTATCTTCAGTCCATTCTCCTAGTTATTATGTATGCTCATTTTAACTGGCAACATTATTTTAGTAAAGATTTCACCTAGACAGTGCGAGATTTTAAAATGGAGTATTCAGAATAATGTAGGTGGAGGGCTACTGGCATATAATACATTAGAAAACATAAAGCCTAAGTGACCTCCTGCATGCGTTTCTCCCTGAAGAATAGCTGGTGCTGAGGAAATACCTGTCCCAATTTGCAGCTCTGCCATACCTGTGTATTTGGAATAAAAATCTGAAATAACTGATTTACTAATTTGATTAATCTGTATCTCTTTTTGTCTCTGCAGTGATGAATCTAACCTTACGAGCATGAAGTTGTGTATATAGTGCTCCACTTTTTGTATTTATAGTTGAAAACTGAAAATTTTATTTTACAAGTCTGAGATATGTTTACATGTAGCTGCTTCTACTTGTTTGCAATAGTCCATGTGTACATCCTTTTTTCACTTACGTCTGCAGTTAGATGATAATATAACTGCAGGGTAAACCTGCAAAGGTTCTCTCTCTAATGAGAGAGATCTCGATACAACGATCAAGAATAGAAATCTGATTATTTCTGTAAATTCTTATATTTGGGCTTGTGGACCTGCATGGACAATGAGTGCCATGAACTAGTTTACAAGAAAATTGTGACCAAATAAGAGCAAAATGCTATGAAATGTACTGTACCAGCTGCCATTGGTTGGAGTTTACTGACTTGGCTTCCATGTCCATCTTAAAACCCTTCACTGTTCCGTGCCACCATATGTGCTTGTGTGGACTAAAAGCATGAGTCTGTGCCAAACACGCTTGTTGTGCGATCGCGTCACGCGCTACATGCCTGCTCACGGGGAACTCTGATTCCAGCTTCTGAATCCTTTCCTTTTGTCATCTCAAGGGAGTCACACCATGGCTTATTGCTAAAAAGAGATAAACCAGAGGAGGATAGAAAGAGGCCTTGAAATTTTTTGGGGGATAGAGTTCCAGCTGCAGGTGGATGGCTTCCAGTCTTGCGGGTCACCTGGCCCCTTTGATCAAAGAGGGTCCCGCCTGTTGTCGGCACCCGTTTGCCTTGCACTGCTCACCGTGGGGGAGACATTCACGATGGGCCCCGTCCAGTCCTCAATCCAGAAGGAAAGAAGTTTGAAGAAGAAACCAGACTTCTCCGTGGGCTGTTTGAAAAGGTGACAGAGGTGCTGCAGAGATCATTTGATGGCAGACGCCGCCTGAGACCAGAAGCTTCTCAACCTCACTCAAGGATGGACAGAGTATGTGCTCTGCGTGTTGTACTTTGGGACTGCTGGAGGAAAAAGCATTCTTGAGGCAGGGATGGATCAGAACATCCTCCAGAGGAGGAGGGTAATGGAACTGACCAGAGACGTATCTACCATGGTGTGGTTTTCAGGTGATTCAGTTTAAATTACACAAAACTAGCTGAACTTCTGTGCGGAATTTTGGAAGCTCTGGTTAATTTTGTTTCCTTTTCCCGTTAACTGTTGCCATAAAGGATGCATTTCAGCCATCTATTCACCGTTTGGGATGATGGCATTGAAGAAAATACTTCAGATGTTCATCTTGCTTCAGTATTACCAGTTTTTATTTGAGAGTCTTTAAGTCTAAAAAAGAAAAAGTTTATTTTTGTGTTTCATGGACTGATTTATTCATCTTGTTCTTTTTCTGCTGTTACAGTGAACTTAGTGGACTTTGTTACCCAAAAAACATTGGAGAGAAACAATTCTGTGTGATTACCACTGCACGCTTGTCATCGCGTTACGTTGTTCAAGGTGTCGGTATTTATCCATTTCTGTTGATTAGTTTTCTAGAGGAACATTGGCAAAGTTTTGCTTCTCCGCTTTTTTTTTTATTTTATTGCTAGAAATACTTAAATTTGTGCACATTTGTAGTTTTTGCCACGAGGTATATTTTCCAGTGTTGAGTCTTCATATGGTGCACTGTGGTTAGTTTGAGAGACCAGTTTTATGAGAAATGGTGCCATGTTTGGCAGATGGAAATTCTTTTTATAGCGCTCCCGTTCCCAGTGTACAGCAGGATGATCACAAGCTTTTGAAGTTACTTTTCTGAGAGTTGTCTTTCCTATGTAGACCAAAACTCGAGGAAGACGGCCTGTCTCCATCCACGTGTGGGCTCCTGGCCCTTCTTGGAATGCACATTTTTTCCTTGCTCCATCATTTCTAAATCATGTGAAGATGGGGACCTGCTGTGGTTGCACTTTCTGTGTTGCTTCACAATCTCAGATCAATGGAGATGCCACTATAATGCCCTTTTTCACTTTGCTAAAACTTGATTGTCATTTTGGTATATCAGAGACAAAAGAAGCTTTTCATGAAGGAAAGTCTTCCATAGATTTTTAAGACTAAAAATTAATTTAGTGCCCTCCATCCAATAGTACCTTACTAATAAAAATAAAATTCCAATGCTATATAGAGAAATACTGAATATATATATATTTACTACTCAATTCCATTTTTCCAATAGTAAGAAATACGAAAGTGTTCAGAGATTTGAGGAAAAAATGGTTTTCTTTGCTTAAGTTTTCAGAGATGCGAATATTGATCTATTAGAATAGTCATGATTACAACAGTAAAAGCCTTCACGTGGCATAGACTGAATATAAGCTGTTAATAATCAGAGTGCTACAGCAGTGATGTGAACGAGGGACCTTCCAGAAAGGGGACAAGAGGAGGACCGTGTATTCAAATGCAAAATGAAGTGGGATGTTTATTACCTGGCTAGATGTTCTAGCAACTCTGTATCGAGAGTGTCCACGAACACAACTCATTTAAGAAATAGCAAGAAGATAAAGAGCTATTAAATGCATGCTGTCATAAGCACTTTCATATTTTTAAAATTTCTATATCTATATTTTTAAAATGTCCTCATAGCATCCATTTCTATATGCATTTATAAAGGTAGCACAACCTTAGCTCATGATGTGTTCATTCAGGACATAATTATAGACACTACTGTTATGTGTTGGTCAAAACTCAGTTTTCCCTTAACTCCCTGACACCGAGACCCTGCTGAAGAACCGCTTAAGCACCTTTATTCACATTCTTTTCAGTCTTGTAATTTCTTTATTTAACTCCTGCCAGGTAGGAATACTTTTTTTTTTCTTTTTTCCAAATCATTTAACAACTTTTTAAAGCTTCTGTGTTGATTGATATCATTAAAGGTTCATTCCTTTTAAATGACCATGGCTGAACAGCAGATAAAAAATGTAATTTGACAGGCTAAACTATGAATGTAGATTTGATGTTAATATTTGCTTCTCAAGGATTGATTTGAAATGAAACCTAGAAAAATTGCGTGTTCAGTACAAGAAAAAAAAAGAATTGGCTTTAGTATTTCATCAAGCAAAGCACCCTGTGAAGACTTGCAACATGTTTATTTTGTTTAGAAAACTATTTTTGGTGCTCGTTTATCTTTTTTTTTTTTTTTGATGGCAAAGCTACGGTTTGAAGCCCCGTGTGGTGTTGTATCTTTAGTGGCATTCCTCCGAGTAGGGATGGTTTGTTCTGCTCAGTTTGTGAGAGGAACAGTAGTTCCTCCACCAGTCCTTTCAGCTGTAGAAGTGCGTAGCGGTGTTAGTCTACACAGTTTCTAGATCCCTGACTTTTTCAGGTGTGATTGATTCTTGTTTCTTTGAGAGTTTCCAGTGTTGTTTCCTGCCACGGTGTGTGACCATCTGTGACCCCAGGGCTGTGTGGAGGTCCTGCTGCAGAAGCAGCACGTCTTTTAAGCACCGTGTGGAATATGTCTGATACACATGGTCCTTGTCTCCATATTCACAGATTAGCTGTGGGGAATCTTTCTTTCAGGATGCTTCGGACACCTTTTTATTTGTTTTCCTGAGGTAAAGCATGAAATGTTAATTCATGGGAAGATGATACAATGTATTTTTTTTGATTTATATTTTTATTTATTGCCGATTTTGATGTCACGTTGTAATAGCGTAGCAAGGCAGAATGGCACCCTTCATCCAGCTGTTTGTCTGTCCTTTCAGTGCACCGTGTAAGTAGCAGGAGTGAGTTTCAGAACGATCAAATCCATACACCTGCACATGTGTGTAGAGTTTAAAAAGGGATAATTCTTAAGGCTGATGTACAGTGTGGAAGGTCACCATTGGCTCCATCGGGCGTGACGCTCAAGGAGGAGCGCACCCGAGCATCAGCTGTGCCAGTGGAAGAGACAATGAGACCTCAGAGGAGCAGACCTTTGGTCCTTGTGGGGAGGTGGTGCTGTGGAGATGTGGTTCCCATCCTGGATCCCATCAGGGTTTCGAGAGAGTTGTCCCACTGAGCGCTGCAGAAGCAGGAGGGTAGATGTTGGTGGCTCTTCCCTTGGCCGTGCCTCCCCAAGAGGCATCACTTGGCCTCTTTCCCCAGCCAAAGAGGGAGAGAGACCCATCCTTCCCTCACGAGGCACTTTGCAAGGTGCAGAAGGAAGGTCCCAGGGCCCCTGCGTAGCTCCAAGGGGAGGGAGGACCATCAGCTTCCACGCTGGGGTTTTGCCTAAATCAGGACCACTTCAGTGAGCACGAGCTGCAGAGCTGCTCCCAGTCTGCTCAAAAAGGATGAAGATGTTCAAGGCATGCGGAAGGTGACCTTTCTTTTTAAATTTCCTGATCTCTGCTGCTTGACCATCTTCAGTTGCATTTTTAAAACCTAATTTACCTAATGAGAGGTCTAAATTCTCACACTGCAGAGCCGCACAAAACACCAATATCTACAAAGACAGTGGTCAAAAGAAAGTCTAACTTTTAGTCATTGCTAAAAAATTACTCAGTTTCAGTGACTAGAATTAAAACTAACACCTGCTTTTGAGTTTATTTTATTTTTTCCTTTCTGCAACTTGCTTTTATGGATCTGAATGTCGCTGTAATGTACAAATGAAGGTTTTCTTGCACCCTCTGTTATTGAAGTATTTTACATGGTGGCTGGATTCATTAAATGCTGTTAGAAACAAGTGCCTGCCACCGACATTTCTGACAGAATTTGGAAAAGAGACTCCACAAAACAAGTGGAGTTTGTATTTTAAAAAAAGGATTTGGAGTGTGGTTTTTGTTTCATTTTAATTTTAAATGCATCCAATTATCAATGCTGCTTGGAAATGGAATTTTCTTTGGAAAACAGGGGGCCTTAACTTAACCTGGGACCGTTAGTGTTTTACTTGTTTCTATTTAAAAAAGAAGAAATTGTATGAGTTTCCCAGCTACCATTGGTACTTGCACACTTCTCTGAAGTATTATGAAGAGTCGGGTTGGTGGAAGAATGTTTTACATATTGTTAACATATATGTGGATATTCTTATATTATTGTACATGTTTGGGAAAATATCACACAACTTTAAAAATGTTACTAAGATGTATGTATCTGACTTTTTCCTTTGGAAAATATTATATATTTTTATTTGTATTTTTTACTTTTTTAAGTTCATCTATATGTGCCGTTATTTTTGTATTGCAAATGGTCTCATAAATGGAATAGAAGAGATAAAAATACAAAGAAGAGTAATTTGGCAAGGATTACAATGCTTGGGGGGGGAAAACACATGGGTCAGTATCATATTATCAATACTAGAAATATTTTGAGTGTCTTAGCACTGTAAATATGTCACGAGACCTCTTTTGACAAGTAGTGTAAAGAACTGCAAGATTTTATCCACCCATTTTAATTTGTTATTAATTACCACTTTCTTGTGGCCTCTGGTCCTGACTTAATTGAACCCGATCAAACAGCATGCTTTTGTTTTTATTATTAAAATTTCTCCTTGTTTTTCAGTTGAATACTGTTTTGTTTTCTTTCAGTTTTGTATACTTTGGGTTTTGTTTCCTTCTTGTGAGAAGTTGATCTTCAGAATTATTTTTACACTATTTATGATTTATTTTCATAATGTAAAAAAAGTGTGTAATTATTAAAATATTAATTTAACCATTGGTGCTGATTTCGCAGAGTTATAAAGTTCTTAGTGTTGGTGCAAAAAAAA